GAACGACTAAAACCTCTGGCAGCCTGCCAAGCTGTAACAGACACTTCGCCAAGGCCGAAACGTGCAATTGCTCCCTCCCGCACACACACACGGCCGTGTTCGTCCAACAGCCGATCGGCCTCAGCAACAGATGCCCCTTAGGTTGAGCAATCCTCGGGGATCGAGAGGGGGGTCGACTGAGGGCGGCCTGCGGTTGTTGGCGCGTGTGCATAGACCCGCCTCGGCTTCAGGACTGCTCTGGGCACTCACACTGCCCTGTCCATTTGCCTGTGGGCACAGAGACCCATCCGTTCCTTGTGGGTTACACAAGTAGATGAAAGACAAGGGCTGGGGAGCAATGGGAGTGGATGGGGCGAGGGAGAAGAGCAACAGGGCAGAGGGGGTGAAAATTGCCACCAGAAAGGAGACAGTGGCTGGCAGAGGGCAGCCCCTGGTGCCGATGGGAACGAATCTTTTCTTCGTTTGGGCTCATTCAGGTTGAGAACTTGATGGGGAGTTGAAGTGCAGGAAAATGTCTCTCCCGCTGCGATTTACTCATTTAAAAGCTGGATGGACACCCTAAGTCACTTGGGAAAGCGTGGTCTCATCTTCCAGAGACTCAGACGAGTAGGAACGCAACTCCTGCACTTTGGCATTGCCCCCACCACACACCTGACACAACACAAGCTATGTCGGCAGCAAGCTCCCTCGTGTGCGCCGTGGGGGGCGCGTTTCGCAGCGTCCAATGCACCTCTGCCCACAGCACTGTCCCGGGAAGTTCTGGCAATGCAGGGGGGAGGCACAAGTGGGGGGACTTGAGGTCCTCCATCGCCTCATGGCCACGTCCCGTCACTTTCATTCCTTCTTTACAAATCCCACCAGCCCCGTGACTTTCCCAGCAGGCCGGCATGTCTGACAGCAGCACCCAACGGGCCTGGCTCTCTGCTGTCATGGAGGCTCCTCCACTGCCGCCAGCGTGGGAGGGGCAGGACTGGGTGGTGTTCCTCCACTGCCGCCAGTGTGGGAGGGCCAGGAAGGGGCACGATGGAGCCAGGACTCCAGCCATCTCCAGGCAGGCTCCCCGGTGGCCTGCCCAGCGATGACCACTGGAGGCCGAAGTGCCAGAGGAGATCTTGGGGACTCACCCAGCCTGTGCCAGGCCCTGGGGCGGATTCAAGGGACGGGAAGCGTCCATGGCGGCGTCCTGCTACTCTGGAGCACCATCACTGTGGTGGGAGACCCACTGACCCTTCCCTTGCCTCTGGCTCACCTGGACTGGGCGCCAGGGCGTCTCAGATAGTGCCAGGCACAGAGCAGCTGGCCTCCAGCTCGCATGGCCCCACCCTGCTCCTCCGTCTTTCTCCTGCGAGAGTCCTGTCGAGGCTGGTGCTGGGTCTCTGCTAAGGATGGGAGGCAGCTTTCTGTGAGGGCAGCAGGCCTATGGGGCAGTGCTGGGGTGTTTGTTGGCCTGCCTGGCCTTCATGCAGAACTGCTGCGGGTCCCTGTCCTACCCCTTCTCTTGCATCCCCCAAGCCATCAGCCCGGAGACGTCCCCATTTCTGTGGCTGCTCCATAGCTCTTGTCTCCACAGGCAACGTGTTAGCCATGTGGGCAGCTGGGCGGTTGTGCACAGCAGGGGAGAGCTGCCAGGTGCACTTGCCAAGGGGGAATTAAGGAAAAGGCATTTCCAGCAGTTGTGGGTGGAAGGGTTCTGTCATGTGCGACCCCTCGGTGGAGCAGTCGTGATTGTGACCAGAGCGGCCGGCGTCAGGCATTGTGGGAAAGCTGCTGGAGGACCATCGAGGTTAACATAGGTAGCACAGTCTGCACTCGCACTGCACTGACCTCAGGGCATTGCCCAGGGTTAATGGCCCCTGGGGGGTGCGGTAGTGGGAGAGAAATTCCAGTGCAGATGCGAGCCCGGCGAGGTCGCCCCATTTTGTAGTGCAGGGCAGGCTTCCCGGGAACGCCTCCTGGCCTGACCTGAACTAACCAGGCCGATTCACTGATGCAATGTGAATCGGGTCTGGACAAGAGCAGCTGTGTATCCAGAGCACTGTGCAATCTGTGCTGCTCAGTGCGTGAATTAATGGAATGAATGTGCTGGACACAAATCATGAGCCAAAAGTGAATTAGCCAGGAACGAAGCAATAGATCAGTCACCGTTTTCTAGCACACGAGAACGTGCTATTCATAAAACTCGCCAAGTAGCCGTCAGAAGACGCGATTTTCAGGTCTCTCCTCCACGTCCGTCTTCTCTCCTGAGCCTCCCGTCTCTCTCTCTCCCCTCCACCTCCTGCCTCTCACTCGAGGGACCGCGGAGCCCAATCAGCCATTTGGGCTCCACACTCCCCGTGCTGCATGGGGAGCGCAGAGCTCAAATGGTCGTTTGCGCCTCTTGCTGCCCCGCAGCAGCCCGGCTGAGTGGCGCAGAAGTCAGCCGAGCGCCACGGCGGGAGGCAAAGGGGGGTGGTGCGGTGACGTTCATGGCCGGGGGCGGGGCCTGGAGCCGCTGTCACACCCCATGGCACCGCCCCCCCTCCCTTTGCCC